GTCAGCCCGCAATTCCGCTCCATCCGCTTGTCCGACTCCATCACAGTCATCCGTCCGATACACGCTCCATCCAACTGCGCTCTGTCATCGTCCCCAAAGCCCTAGCCCGAGAACCGTGCAACTTCTAGGCTTAATATTTCTCTCGATACTTAACCAAATTTAATGCGGTTTGTTCCTATAGACTCGTCTTGACTATCCATGCGATTAATCAACCCTTAAATCAACTCTATGGAGAATCAAATGAAGCTCGGTTTAGGGTTAACTTTAAATACCTTGGTCCAAGGGGGGAAGCCTCGATTGGATGCTTGTAGAAGCTTTGTGGGGGTCCCAAGAGCCTAGGGATGGAGCCTCAAGCCTTGGTGAATCGTTCCGACCAAAGTCGATTTGGGGGGGTCCAATCAAATTCCACCTTAGGGTGCTCTGATGATGGGGCTTTTATGGGGAATCTTCTTCTCTTGTCTTCTCTCACTGTGGGGATGGTGTGAGTGCAATTATTTGAATTTGGTGGAGGTTTGAGTGGTGTCCTGTTTCGGCCTAGAGATTGGGCTAAAAAATTGAGCTCGAGCAGTGGCTTTGAGTAGATAACGGTGTTTGGGTTGAACTTAAGAGGACTTAAGGAAGCTCTGGAAGCAATTTGGAAGAGTCTCCCCAAGGAATTTCAAGTTCTCTTCCTTTGGCCATGGAGGGTGGGTTTAAATAGAGGGGGAAGGAGAAGCCACCGGAGGCAATTGGTGGGTGCCCTAAGTTGCTTATGTGGATGCCAACAATATGCAATGCAAAAATCCAATTGGGATGAGATGAGCCAGCTTGGATGGTTTTAACTTTGAGTTTTGGCCATGGTAGAACTTTTGATTTTGGGTTTTCCGGCCACCAAAGTGGCTGGCTGGCCAGGGAGGGGTCACCATCTAACTCAGGGAGGTTAGGGCTTGGTCTTGGTGAAGTCAATTGGGGTTGGCCATGTGTAAATGTATGAGATTTAACTAGTATGGGAAAAGGGTAATTTTGGGCTAAATTGGGTCAAGACATGGCTTGGGTTGGGTTCAACCACCAAGGTTGGTCTTGGGCTGAAGAGGATGGGAGATCATTTGGTTCGGCTTAATCATTGAGGATAAGTCACCATCAAAAGAGATTTGGCTAAACATGGGTTAGAGTGATTCATGAGAGGGGTTAAAACTTTTTAAGGAGGCTTGAAAGTGGCTTTGGCCTCTTGCCATTAATATTTTGATGATGTGGCAAGGCTCTCATTGGTTTTCTATGGCTTAAGAGTGGCTTCATGACTTGCATGTGGCTTGGCTAATTTCATGAGGAAGGATTTTGGATTTATTTGGTATTTTTGGAGAAGTTTGGCTTGATGTTTGATTTGGAATGCTTTGATTTTGAATTTAGAACTTTAGGAGTGATTTTGATTGAATGGATGATGAGGATAAAATTCATCATGTGGGCTTTTAATTGAATTTGAGCTTTTTGGAATAGCTTTTTGGAATGACTTAATTTGGAATGACTTAAGGATTTGGGCTTTTAAAATGAAAATTGAGTTTGGGCTAAAATTTGAGGTTGAATGTTGAGTTTGGTGTAGGAGAATATCATGAAGGATTTGACAAAATTTCGAATGATTTTGAGTTGAATTAGAGGGCTAATTTAGTGGATTTAGGCAAAATTGGGTCTTTTTGATTTAAATGAAGTTGGGCTTGCAATTAGATCAAATTGGGCTTGAATTTTGTTTATAATAGGATTGGGGATGCTGAATTTTGATTTGGAATTGAAATTGGGCAAGATTGGGGTCAATTGGGCTAAGATTGAAGCTAATGACTCCCCTTGAGCTCCTTCATATTGACCCTACCTACTAAGTGCTAGAGTTCAGAACCAATATGTGACACTTCAGGTTGAGCAAAGAACGGTTTTAAATTTTTAATGGTGAGGGTTCCTTTTCTAGTCATCTAGGAATAGTCAATAGGAAAATCCTATGATCCTATGGCTAGCCTATGGCTAGACCCTAGGTCACTAAAGAGGAAAAACTAGACCTCAACCAAAAATGAGGTCAACACTCAGAAGATTGGATGAACAGGCCAGAGCGACCAATCAAGGCTGAAAAAAAAAGAGTCGTTCGGGCCGAGACGACAGATCAGACCCAAAGTGGGTGATCGAACCGGTGCGGTCGATCAAATCCAAAAGATTAGTGATCCGGTCGGGGCAGCCGATTGAGCTTGGAAAATGAGTCGATTAGGTCGGGATGACCGATTAAACCCAAAGTGGGTGAGAGAATCGGTGCGGTCGATCAAACGCAAAAGATCGGGAGAATAGGTCGGGGCGGCTGATTGAGCCCAAAAAAATGAGTCGATCAGATCGGGACGACCAATCGATCCCAAAGCGGGTGGTCAAACAGGTGCAGTCGATCAGACCCAAAAGATCAAGTGATTGGGCCGGGGCGGCTGATCGAGCCTAAAAAATGAGCTGATCATGTCGGGACAGCCGATCGAACCAGTGCAATCAATAAAACCCAAATAATCAGGCGATTGGGCCATGAAGGTCGATCAAACTGAAGTGCTCATGTGATCACACATACGATATGAACATGATCCACATGCATAAATGCATTAGTTGAACACACCTATGCAATGCAACAAAAAAAATGCTTGATGATACGTCAAACTCGTCCCAATGACCACATGTAGATACCTAATGTTGAAGTTCTTGGATCCGCGTCATAGCTGCCCGCCTCTGGCTTTGACAAAGAAATGTGGAAAAGTTCGCTCTCCGATTTCTCGTATAAGAAATCCTTCACCGTTCGTAGGGCGGACTAAGTACAAAGATTTTTCCGTCCTACAAAACTTCCACGATCTTGTAGAATGGGCTAGCTAAAATGCTTTTCCCATTTTTCAAAATTAAACTATCCCAACATCTCCAAAGAAGGTTGGAACCGCCAAAGCCATGGGAAAATTGAGATTCCGACTCGCTTAGGTGTAGATCTAAAGCTCACAAGGGAAACTCTCAGATTCGCTAGGAACATGTCCAATGAAAGCTTCCTAAAGTTGGGCTTTATCTAGGAAATCAACGACCTAGAGGCTCGATTTTAGAGATTTGTTGTGAGAATGCATTCTCAAGCTGACGGGGCACCTTAGTATGCCTGCATCAATGCCAATCGATTGGTGCCAACCCAACACTATTAGAGTAATGGGAGTCACCTTCCCTCCCTAAGGCTAGAAAGACACTTTTGTTATTGAGCGCCGGTCCTTCATCTCATGGTTTTTGATCTCTTTTCCAGGTCAACACGCCTCAGATGACATCCAACATCTAATCCTTCAACTCCTAGATCTGCCATGAATTCTTTGGTGCACTCCCTTTTGGCGTCTTTGTTATAGAATTTTTCTACTTGAACTACCCATCTTCTTTTTTGTAATATGATGCATGCTCACTGTACATTTTAGGATGTTGAATCTAGATTTGTTTGTGAATCACATCTAAGAATTAGGGTAAATAATAAGAGATTGCGAAGACATAAAGAGAGAGAGAGATATTAAAAGAGAAAGAGGAATGAACAATAATCAATCATGTCTTATTCATAAAATATTTTCTCTATTTATAGATGAGATGATGAAACTACTTTTTTGCTCATGTTTGAAAATAGTCCGTACTAGGATATTTCTAGTATTTTATATGTATGAACTTATCATCAAGCTGCTTTCTGGCTCGATCGGCTAGTCATAGTTGGCTTTGAGTCGACAGGATTAGCTTAGCTGCTGAGCTTGATCGGCATATGTCAATCAGGTGATCTAATATCAATCCTCGCTCCCTAACAAAAAGCCTCTGAGGTGTCTTTGGGATGCTTGAAAATTTATGTGGAACTGAATCCACCCTTAAATCAATGCTACTAGAGGTTAGGCTGTTGTATCAGGTCAACTTTTCTGTAATGATTGGCTCAAATCCTATTTTGGCAAGCTTCAAGCCGAATGACCCACGCTTGGATCATCCTGTCATTTTTTTGTTCGTCTCATGATCTAGAAGATTTTGGCCTTTTTGGCTTTATTTGCATAACATTGCTCGATCGATCAAGTGAGCCTTATGATCTCTTAATAATGAGCCAACCTTCGATGTACCATTCCTTTTTGGACTGTTGAATTTTTTTACCATTGAATCTTCTTAAGATCAATGCTGGCCCATTTTTGATGTACACAGACATAGCACACAATTCTTATGTATTTACATATATCACATGTAAAATTTCATATTTACACACATAGCACTCAAATCTTTAATATCACATAAAAATTAATACTACCATCATTTTTTAAAAGTGAAATACACCTTTATATGCATAGGCTTAAAGCACCAATATGCTGTGCAACATGAAAATTTAGGTGAGCTACATAAATACATAACCGTGTGCTAAGAATGTAAATTTCCCTAAAATCAACAACGATGCATCATTGCAACATGAATATCTTGTTCTCTCCACCCTTCTTAGTGGATCGCCCTAATCTAATAACGCTTCAAAAACTCACTCAATTTTCAAATTTTGATCAATCACAGATTAATTTTATGAAATATACTGCAAAAATACTCTACCAAATATGCAACTTAACTTCTCACTGCATGATTTCCACTTAAAACGCTTGAAAGATTACCTTTCTCAAATAGCATCTTTCATACCACAAAAAATTAGCTCATATTCTCCAAATTAATACTTAAACTCAACATGAGATTACCCAAGAAGTTAACTTTACAATGATAACAACAACAACAAAGCTTTAATTTCACTACGTGGGGTTGGCTACATGAATCATTTTTCTCCATTGCGTCCTATTTAGTATCATATTTTCATTTAATTCTAGTAAATTAAGATGTAAATTAAGATCATAAGCCCAAGTCTTCCTAGGTCTACCTCTGTTTTTCTTAACACAAGTCGAATTTAAAACATCTACTCAAACATCTACTCTCCTAATCGGATCATCAGATGGTCGACGTTTAAATATTTTGCCTCATAAGTTAAAAGTTAATTAATATGAGGAAATCAAAAGTATACCATTAAAACTGAATACTTTTAACTCTACACGGTACAACAAAGAAATCTCTCACCCACAAACCTCTTCCAGTCTCTAAACCACATTCATGGTCATTACTATAAGCATATTTTAACGAATTATATATAATAAGCTATAAGCTTAATGCTACGCATGTTATCATCATCATCATCATCATATCAAAGAGATCCATGGCACTGCACATGGATGGGGTACCCTTTTAGCATTCTTGTGGTGGGGAAGAATACCAGCTTATCCTTCTCTGCAACTTCCCAGCTGTTCATCAAACAATACTTAAGTTCAAACATTTTTAATAAATAAAATAAAAAAAACAAAACACATTCACTAAATTATTAAGAGCAACAACAATGAGTACCTGAAGCAGGTGACGAGGTAGTGGAGAAAAACAGAGACCTCGACACGTCCGAGCTCGTAACCGGGACATAGCCGCTGGCCACCGCCAAAGGGGGCAAAGGTTGGGGGTTCGCCACACTGTGACTCGAATATAGTTCGAGCTGACACTAACTAAACCAGTTTTCGTTAAGAGCGGGTTATTGTAGGGTTACCAGCCATCTCCAGGGATTGAAGGTACGAGCATCATGGAAGTAGTTTTCATCGAGGTGCACTGCTCGGAAAGAAGCAAACACCTTACATCCCTTTGGAATTATGTAACCTGTAATAGGCCATATGGTTTCAGCTAAGTTTATATGAAAGAAAGCTAAATTATATTCATGATTTGTCTAAGATATATCTGCTTGTGTCTAACTGATAATTCACATAGATGGTAGATTTGTAAAAAATGACGACTCAAGAAAATGCACCTAAAATGTCGAAAATGATGAATACAGATAGACATTACACTCAGTATTCCTTTCCTCCAACCTTACAGGCTGGAAATTTATGATACATGACAATGTATAAAACTTTCACAAATTTGACCCATCATATGATTTATTGTCAGATTATGATAGAATGTTCATAAACTCACACAATAATCGTTATGAAAGAAATTCCTTGTTACCATTAATTCTACAAGGAGATGAGTGCGCGCAGAAGAAATGTATAAAATATCAATCAACCAATAGATTGCACTTTTGTTTCTGCAAAATGGACGGTGATGAGGTCGGTCAATATGAATTGTTGCAAGATGTTTTATAATTATTTATTTTTAGTTAAACCAAATATACGATTGTGACCCCTTTAGTAGAATGAAGTTGAACTTTTATACATCATAGTGTTTTTTAGTGTAACGGTTGGAATTTCATCATAAACTTCAGAGTAAAGCGTGTTGGTGCGGAACCACTCTTAGGATGAGTGACCTCATGGGAGTAAACCAGTTTGAAGATAGAAATACTTGTTTGATAAATGGTTCTGGATAAAGATAATCAACAAGAACGTGGGTTACTTAAGTGGTGGAGATTATAAAACCCCTTGGATATAAAGAAGCTGAACTTCAAAACTTCGAGGCACTTTTTGATGTAAAAATAAGAATTTCATCAAAAACTCCAAAGCTAAGAGTGCTCGCTTTTTGATGTAAAAATAGGAATTTCATCAAAAACTCCAAAGCTAAGAGTGCTCGTGCAGAAGCGCACTTTGGGGGGGTGACCTCCTAGGAACTAGACCAATGGGACAAAACCGAGAGGCCACTAGGCCAAACGAACAATATCTTGATGGGTGAGAGTTCGCACCTTCACAACGATCAAGCCCTGTTCGACTCCAGTTGAAGGGCTTTCATTATTCAGAATGAAAAATAGAAAACTCATGCCTCTTCGACTGGTTGGATAATACTTTATCAAAGATGTCGCAAGCTCTCTATCGCATGATGTTCTGTCACACAAGACAGGGAAAGGGGCTAGCCAGCCCAATCCATTTGTGCTCAAATTTGAATAATACATGCGTTCACAAACTCAATGCAACAAGCATAATCATGTTTTGCTTGACTCATCCTGTAAATTTGAGGTCAACCTTGTCCCAAATCTGGCTAATATGAATAAAAACTAAATACCAACTCAATTTTTATAATATATGGAGATTGGGAGTTCTAACATCCCAACAAAACCAACGGAGTCTTGCACCTACTTAGCTTCTGTGGTGGCAAATTGCATAGCTAATCCACATCAAAACCTGATTTCAGCTTTTGCCTCCAAATGGCCTCTAAGCAACAAATGCAAGTGCTAAACTTATAGGACCTAATTATTGATAAGAATCAAGGATTAATAATGGTCACCTTTGTAATTAACATCAGCAACGGTTCGCCGGAAAACGCCGCTAATGATATTGGCGACGCGCAGCGTCTCATTTACGACGCACTGTGTAAAAGACATCGCCTTGTAATCGCTCCAATCCAAAGCCTCAAGCTCATCTTTCTTCCTCCCTCGGATCTCCTCTTGCTCTTCCTGCAATCCACCCCAATTTGTATTACACACACAGATCCATCCAAAGCTCTCACCTTTTTTCTACAAAACAGAACCAGAAATCGAGAAGACAAAGCCGACACCTTGACGAGAGCAAGAGCGGAGGGGTTATCTGTAAGAAACTTGACAGCGAGAGTCATCAAGACCGGCGTCGTCTCATGTCCAGCCACCAGCAACGCAAGCAAGAAATCCACCATCTCCTCCTCTGTAAAACCCTCATCAGCCTCAAGCAGCTCGTCCACCATATCCTTCTTCCTGCTCACCTCCTCATCCTCTGTTTCTGTTTCCCTCATCTTCTCCGCTTTCCTCCGCTTCACCAGCTCCATCAGCGCCTCAGCTACCTTCTTCCGCGCCTAATCAAAAACCCATGACACCATTAAAAAGGAGCAAAATAAACGGAAAAAAAAAAACAAAATTTTGTGTAAAGATGAGACATTTATCTCCGTTGGTAGTGAAGCGGAGGAAAGGGAACAGAGGAACAGAAAAGAATCCATCAATAAGAGCATTATAATGTCGACGGAGATACTCCGTCCACTCTCCCGGCCCCTCACTCATGGTCTGCTCCACCGTCATCTCGAAAGACACCTTCTTTGCCTGATCAAGCAACCAAACACCGCCGCCCCATGACCGGAGATTAAGCCGAATCAGTTGATCGATGCTGGGGAGAAGAGAGGAGCGAATGACTTGGGGTGAAGCGAAGCGGGTGAGAATGAGAGAATGCATGCGCTTGTGAAGGGCGCCTTTCATGAGCAAAAGAGAGCGGCGGCCGAGGAGAGTGGAGATGCAGGAAGGATAGCTGGATTCAAAGGTGCGTCCTTCGCCGGCGAGAAGGAGGCGGTTGAATTCAGGGTCGGCGGAGAAGACGGTGAGCTCGCCGAATAGATGAGTGGTGAAGAGGCGGCCTCCGTGAAGGCGAACGCGGTCGTCGACGAAGGGTTCGGGGTGGCCGGAACGGTAGGCGGTGATCATGCGAAGGGTCTCGCCGAGGATAGGAAGGCCGGTGGTGCCTGGTGGGAGGTGGGGGGAGAGGTTCCTGCGGTGGAGAAGAAAGAGGAGGGTGATGAGGAGGAGTGGGAGGAAAAGGAAGGAGGAGAAGATGAGTAGAATGGAAGATGAAGCCATTGAGAGGGTGAGAGGGGGGGGGGAGGGGGAGGGGGAGACGGAGGGGGTAGATTTCAGAGATGAGAGTGAGAGATTTCTTAATGGAGACAAGGCTTGCTCTGTTGAAGGAGAATGTTTTTTATTTATTTAATGTTTTCCGAATTAAATGCATGTGCAAATAACACTTCATATTTGATTATTTATAAAAAAGCTAATATCCTGAAAAATCTCATTTAAATATATAAATTTAGGGAAAAAATTTAATATATAAATTTTATTTTATTTAAAATTTTCTGGCACAAATTTTAATTTTATTATCATCAGGCCTTCATTTTTTTAGTTCAATGTTGTCTAGCTCGGAGGATGATTTTTTTTTTTTAATGGAAAAAAGTGAGCTATTATAACTTTTCAATATCAAAGTGGTGGAATCTGAATTACATAAACTTTTTATCATAAAATAATCCTGGTCAGAGTATGATTTATTCATGATATTATTATTATTATTAAAATACTTTTATTAATATTATCTTTCATGTTATTGCTTGTCAAAAGATTTATGTTGGTGGAGTAATAATTTAATGTCTTAGTGTTTCACAAAAATCTAACACACACATAGATAATAAAAAAGGTACAGGAGGAGACACCAGTAAATGTGCAAGTACAAATGTATACCCTTTGCTCACAACTTGGGAGAGTGGTTATTAGATACAATACTTTTTATTATACAAAGTACAAAAAAAAAAAAAATAAGGGTATTGAGAATAATTGTCATATTTTGACTGTGACGATCGTAAGCAGTAGTCGCCAATTGTTTGTGATCAACAACAACAACTGATTATGGTGGTTGATGACTATGAGGACTAGAAATTATCATTGGATCTTTAATGCATGTTATTCATTACAAACATATTTGGGAGATGACTTTTGCAAGCGGGAGTCGCTGATAGCAGAAGGTCAGTGGCTGCAAGTAGTGATGAGCGGCGGTGGTTGATGGTGATCAAAGAAAGGGGGTCGACAATAGTCAAAGGTGGTTGTCTCACCTGATTTTCAGTCCAAAATGGGATTTGGAATTCCTCTTTTGCTCCTTCCTCCCTCAAATGAAGGGAGGGAATCCATTTATAACTTATTCGGTAGGGGCATTTTGATCTTTAGGCGAATAACTTCACAACCTATCTGATCAGATGACCGATATTGATCTTCCTTAATCATTAAGATTTTTTTTAACGATTTGAGTGTCTTAGTGACCTTAGAATTGAGTGATCTTTAGCTCGTTGGATTCCTCTCCTTGAGACGCTTGATTTGAATATACATATGTTAAATTTGGAATTCATTCAACCATTCAATTAACGATCCAAAGCCTTTAAACATGTTTCAATGGCTTGATACCGAGTTGATTAGACCTAGATTGACCTAAATTTGGTATCATTGAGTTCATCCTATTGAGTCGATATGTTTGACTTTAAAATTGTTAAGATTAGGGCCTTGGATAACATTGAATTCGAACTTAGAACATTTATTGTTCAAAACATGCATCGAGATTCATGTTGGATGGATAAAAAATTTCTAATGACGCATCAGGTGTTAATGTTATGTTCGAAGGAGGGATTAATTTTCTAATGTTTATAAAATTGGAAAAATTTGATGAAAATACTCATTTTTTCCCATATGTTGGTGGATTTTATTGATCACACCTTTTAATTTGAACTTTGGGATGTTCCTAGTATGTATCATTAACATTAAAATATTGAAATTAGCTTTTAATTTTAATCATCTCTTTTTCTCTTGAGATGTTTTAGTAATCAATCTTGCCTTCCAAAATTAGCAGATGGTTGAATATATTTTTTCTACTTCAATAACAAAAGCATGACAAAGAAAATTATGTTTGGAGCAATTGCAGCTTTTTGAATAAATTCAATTAACGATCCAAAGCCTTTAAACGTGCTTCAATGGCTTGATACTGAGTTGATTAGACCTAAATTGACCTAAATTTGGTATCATTGAGTTCATCCTA